TTTTAACTAGACGACTAAGAACACACGAATGATAGACACCTAAAGAGAAATATTGTGATTCCAGTGATGCAAGAGTATTTCTTCAAAGTCTTTGACAAACATTGATGAGATCGTGAGAATTGAAGAGAATGATAAAGTTCAGTCACTTGCAAGACCCATGACCAATAAAAGAATGACGATGTACGTGTATTACAAATTTGTTCGAGCGGAGATTTGGCGAGCCTATTTACCAAGACGTTTTCAACAACTACTTTCAAGAAGTTACTTCATCATATTGGATCACGTCATATCGAAGATTTCAAGTGATGTACTCATGAGGGGGTGTAGATGCACGCTACACTCTTTTTCGTTAACCATGGTTTTCTCCACATGGTTTTTCTGGTAAGGTTTTTAATGAGGCTGCATCATCTCACATGTACATTTGAGACCATATTTTTAATGAGGCTACATCATCTCACATGCTTTTTTCTAGAAGGTTCTACATGACTTGATATCTAAACCTAAACCGTAATGTTGTATCCTATATATATGTTGTATCTTAGGAGTATATCAATAACAGAGAAAGCAATTCCCGAAACCTCTTTGTTCACAACATTTTGCTAATTAGCGGTAGCTCTAGATCACTCACATCCAAGCCGAACTTTTAGATAAACGATTTTAGCTCACTTATAACGTAAATCAAGCAAGAGAAACCAATGAAATTTATTGATTTTACATGAAAACGTTTTTTAAATCAAATCGACAAAACTAAACTGTTTTCACAAATAACCTTTTCATGGTTGATCTAGAGGGGTGATCAAGAAACTCAACTTAAAATCATTTTTATTTCATTATAAAACCAGTGGAAGCAAGAGACGTAACAAAAAATTAAGTCATAACGTTATTGAACCTTTAAATGACAATTCGGCGATCTTATGGGTTAAAAGGACTTATGGCAACTTATTTGGTTGTTAACACTCTCAAGGAATGGAAGATGATTCAAGAAGTTATGAAAGATTCAAACACTCATGAAAATATGAAAACAAGAATCAAGAAGTTGTCAAGGATTCTAACTGAAAAAGAGGATAAACGAGTAAGAAGCATTCAAGTGACCAAGAGAAGAAAGGAGGTGTTGGCGGTGGTGGGGAAGAAAAATTGTGGTGGTGGTGAGTTAGAGAAGTCAAACAACTATAGAAAAATGGAATTTTCAAAAATGAGAGGAAAACAAACGTGGAGATGGTTTTGTTCTTCAACAAAACCTTGACACATAAGAATGTTTGTATTATACTTGGTCCACAAGATACCACAAGATACATGTTTTGTTTCCCAAGTTATATATCTCTAACAGTATGTTATCAAGAAAACTCAATGCTTTTGTGAAACCTTAAACCTGAGATTAATATTAGTTATCTCTCTTAATTAATTGTCATGCCAACCACACCGAATCAAACAACCAATTCAAAATTTGTTTCAAATAATTTTATAAAATTCAAGAAATCATAAAAACACTACCCTTGGCCTATACACAGATTCAATTTTTTTGCGGAATTTAAATATTTATTTGAGTCATAAAAAAAAAAAAAAAAAAAAACTAGATGTGCCATTGTAAATTAAAAAAACTGGTTTATATATTTTAAACAATTGTCTTGATCTTTCTGAAAGAAGATGAAGAGTTTAAGAAGACTATGTCTCTCTCTGAACAATAGTCTAGAGTTGGGTAGTGACTTGTTCTCAGTTGGTGATTGTCTGCTTAATCTTTGTTTGTTTTACCTTGCTAAACGAGATTAGATTGGATCGTAGCCTGCATGATAATCGATCAAAACTCTTCATAAGACACTTGTGCACGTGCATGAATTAATAGTGCTACTTAAAAAGACATATTGGTGCATGTTGATACACAATGCATAAGTATGATGCTATATGACAAAAATAAATGGTATCCATGCATCAAAACCATGTTTTGTTTCTTCCATAGGTATAATTTAGAGCATGATTATCGGTAGGATGTTAAGTGAATCTTAGGTTTTTAAATGATTTAAATTAAATTGATAATGCAGCTTATAACTAAGGAACGTTTTATAAGCTCTCCCGGTTCCTTAGCAAGACGCATTCATACCTTTATCTTCAATTCGATTTCCTGAAGTAAATTCACATTTTGTGTGCTAAATCGTCTTGGTTCTGTGTCTCCTTTACCATTGATGAAAATTTTGATGCTTTATTGAAAAGTTTAGTGTTTTATTGAACCCATTTGACTCAAATTTCGTGGGTATCTCATATTATATTGATTAGTTATTATCTTGTTATTCTTATTGCAGCTGGGAACAATAGTTATTCATACCTTTAGATTCATTGGTGATAGAGTTATATTTAGCATCTTTAGATTCTTGATTCGTAACAAGTAAGGTTGAGGATGTGAATGGTTGCAGCTTGGTGTCGGTATTTGTGTTTATGTGGTGATGTTATTATCAAGCGATTAAGGATTCGTGATTATTTAGGATGATCAAGCTTAATTTACGTTCTTGAATGAACTGATGCATACTATGTAAATTTCCTTCTTTTTTCTCCTAATGTTTGGTCTATCTTTGTGAATTTAGTGCTCTTCCGACTAGTTAATACAATAGTGTCACAATAAGGAAGCTAGTGTAATCTATAAACATATTCGCTTGGTTCATTTGTTTTACAACAACAATTTCGATTATAATCTATAATATTTTACTAAATCTTCATCTGGAATATATATCATACAAGTGTTTATATTCCATTTTTATTATTAAACCTTGCAGAGGAGGGAGCAGAAGTTCAAGAAAGCCATACCAAAAGAGATATTCTTCCATTTGATCTGCAGATGCAGTTTTTTTTTTTTTTTTGAATTTAATGTTAAATTATATTCAAAAGAAAAAATAACGTTGTTACAACTAGTGCATCGTGTGTTTGATAATGTTAAAAACTGAGAGATTGTTTGAGATTGCTAAACTTACACTTGGCTTTGTAGCCAAGTTTGAAAACAGGCTTCGTATCGACGGTCCTGCAGTTTTCTGATGGTTGTTGCAGATGCAGTTTTATCCACAAGATGATGAAATAAACTCCATGGTTCTAATGATGCTTTAAGTGTTTGGTAGTTGAATCTTGCTTTAATCCTTGTGTATCTTTCTGGCAGTGTGTCCACTGAGGTGAAGTCAAAGATTGACGAGCTGAAGCCAAAACTTGAGAAGGAAAGGTAGGCTATAATGCTGAGGATGGGTGTCTGATCTTCCATTCCATGCTTTGTATGTTGCTTTGCAAGATAAGATATAAATGAAAATGTGCTCATGAGTTCTGTCCTTTGACTAACAAACTGCAGACAAAACTTTGCTAAAGCACTTTCAAAGAGTTCACACGTTTGGCAATGTGTCTCTTGTTATGGATATTGTGATTGATTGTAATTTAGAAATTTGTCGTTGCAGACACTCTGTTTTGTTGTTTATTAATGCAAAACACACACATATTGCTCTTTGTTTAACCTCACAACCATCTAATTACAACAACTCATGGTCGAGCATATATGGACAAAATTTTCCAGAAATCAAGTTTAAAACAATTGTATTTTATGTTATTTATGTTATAAATTGTATCTCATGTATGTTTTAATTTTTTTTAATTTGCAACAATTATTAAATTTTCTATAATTATAAATTTTATTTTTATATTAATTTTTTTTTCCTAAGAACCACATGTTAAGAGATTACCATTAATCATACAAAAAATCTTAACACAAAAATACTATCTCTTAACAATCACTTTTACAAATATATTACTTAAATATTCCTAAGAGTAGTTATTAAGAGCCTATGGATAAGGTGATTCCCTCTCCCTAAACATGGTTCTTACATTGCACAATAGACAATACTCTGCCTCTATGGAAGAATTACTCATTGTTGAATATTTTCATCTTTTCTAGGAGACGGGTGAATGTCCTAGTTGAACAAAATAACCCATAACTGATAAATGGTAATAAGACAATTGGCCCAATCCGAGTCACACAATTCGTTAACTTGCAATGTCGAATCCAATATGGGAAAAACTCTATGTCCTGAGGTTAATTTGTTAAACCCAATTTTACTTTTCCTTCCTAATGACCGCACCAAAGAGCTTCCATAAAACTTTCCAAAGTATGGACACAATATAAACGATCTAGTCAAGTAGTAGTAATGTAAATAAGCCTACCAACTAACGAGATATAACTTAGAATCTTCGATCATGACGTAGATAAAGCCAGAAGATAGTTTTGCTTTAATGAGAATTTCGTTGGTACCTAGTAACCTAGTTATCAAAATTATGTCCACTACATATTTCCTCTATGAAAGATAGATCCCAAATTTTTTATACTGTGTTGTAATGTGTATTTAATGGTTCTTAGTATTTTTCGTTTTACTTTTTTTTATAATGTGTTGTACGTACGTCACATATAAGAGTTTTTAATTAGAGCTTTCCGAGTTATGTCAAGGTCCCCCTCCCCAATATAAAGGGAAAGTGAGTAATTAAGGGTGCAATCAAATAATTGAATATATATTATGCATAAACATTATATTATAGGATTTGATAAAGGACTTCCCGCTGTTGGATCGAGCTGAAATCTGGACACTTGATAGAAAAATATGATTGCTTTCATTTAGTGGGGAGTAAATATAATCTGCTTAATATTAATTGAATGACATGAAATTTTTTTAAAAAAGTATTCATGGATCTCACTCACTTTTGTGTGTTATCATACAGAGCACTTACAATCAAAATTTACTTTAATGAATTAGCTGTAAAGGTCGATAGATCTATCTCAAGCCATACTGACATTGTTTATACTTATAACCAACCAAACAATATCTCTAATGATAACTAGCTATTGAATAATATTTGGCATTTTCTTGATGATTTGTGGCGAATTAGCCGTTGGGCCTTCTTTTTTTTTTTAATTAAAAAGCGTATACGATGATATTGTTAATCTTGGCTATTTTTATTGAAAATATATTGAGACCAAAACTAAGAAAGATTCTTACAATCGTGTAAACTATAGGATGAACAAATCGTGTGAAACCTCTTTTACCAAAAAATACTTTTCGTGATCTCATTCACTTATGCATGTTTGTTAACATACATAGGAGCTTTCAATCTATACTTAATTTTACAAAATTATTCTTTGCATAGGCCGGTCGATATATCTATATGGCTAGCCTTATACATATCTTGGTTTTATTTACAAGAGAAAAAAATTTAATTATTAGCTAGTTGTTATGGCATTTTGTGAGTTATTGTCATTCGAGTTTAATTCGCCTGAAGCTTGCCGGAAGAAGAGGAAGAAGAAGAGGAAGAAGAGGAAGACGATTGCGACTCGCTCTGAACTGCAACCTCAACGAATTGGGTCGTGACTTTTTCCCATTTGGTGATTGTCTGCTTAATCTGCATTTGTTGTGCGGGTGTGCATGTCATAGAACCCTTGCCTTTGTTCTGACTCACAATTTGACTGTGGATGGTATCTAACTCTTGGAGAGTCGTCATCACTTGTTCTTGGTAAGCTTCCATATTCTTCTTTACCTATGGACATAACACAAACAAACAAAAAAGATTATGGAAATGTATTAAAATGAAGTTGTATCCATTTGATAAGGACAATTTCTTATTTACTACCTCAGCTGATTTGCTTCCAATTCTTGACCGCATAACTGCCATGGCACCAGATAGTTTCCCAGCAGCAGATTTAATCCTAGAAAACAAACCTTTTCTTTCTTTGCGGGGAGCAATCATTGTACCCTTAAGTTGCTCGAAGAAGACCTTGAATTCCTCCTTTTGTGGACACTTCTTTTCGAGGTTCATTATGAATGTCGAGACATCTTTTGATGTCTCTTCCTCGACTTGTGTCACGGTTACACTGCTGCTCTGACTAGCTTCGACATTTGAGCTTCCCCCAGCAGTTTTTGAAGAAGAAGTCTCACTTTCACCTTTAGCGGAAGTCTCACTTTCACCTTTAGCTGAAGTCTCACTTTCACCTTTAGCGGAAGTCTCACTTTTACCTTTAGCGGAAGTCTCACTTTCACCTTTGGCGGAAGTCTCACTTTTACCTTTCGTGGAAGTCTCACTTTCACCTTTGGCGGAAGTTTCACTTTCTTTACCAGAGCTTTTGTTATTGTTGCTTGAAGCTTCTTGTCCAACGTTAGATTCTTCACCGGAAGAAGAGCCTGTTTTGCTTCCACTAGCAGAGCTTTTGCTGTTGTTGCTTGAAGTTTCTTTTCCAACGCTAGATTCTTCACCGGAAGCAGAATTGGTTGTGCTCATTACCATTGTGTTTGTGATCCGAGTAATAATTGTTTCCCATTTCAAGATTCCTTCTTTGATTTCCTTTTGTTGTTCTGCTGTTAGTTTCATGGTTTCTTCACTCTCCTCTTTTTTACGACCGCCCATAATTTTAGCCGCGACAGATTTCATAAACCTAAAGGTATTAATGGCTTCCATTTTCTCCTCTTGAATTTCCTCCCTAATCTGTTAGATATTTATGCATGATGTAGTAAATAAATTGGTTCATTAGCCATAATTTTAACCTTGAAGAAAAAGTTACCTTTCCAATAGCAAAAGAAGATATGGCCTTGAAGACACCCCCGGCTTTGGCCTTCAGGTCTCGGTCGTAATCTACTTGATCTCTTCTTCTTATTGGGCAAACATACTTGGCGAATCCCCTAAGTTTCTCAAAGAAGGCCTTGAATTTACTTGTCTTCGGGCATTCCTTCTCGAGGTCCGCCACAAAGACCATTACTACTTTAACGGTGTAAGGCTCTACATCCTTCACCGTCTTTGGATCTTCGATTTGAGGCAAAGATGGCTTATATTTCAGGTGTGCTGATACTAGGTCCAGAAGGGTCACAGATGCAAAAAGAATGGTGAAACATAACAATAGCTGAACTCTTGCCATTATTCTATTTTTTTTGGTTTTAAATTATTCTTTTCTTTTTTTTTTCTTTTTTTGAGGAAGAGAGACTGAAGAATGAATGAATGAGTAATAATGGAATTCTTTGTCTGCTTTTATAGTTATGTTAAGTGTTCTATGTTTAGAATCATTGACCCTTTCACCATCAAGAATTGTGTGGAATAAGGTGAAAATAATAGCAAAGAGTTTCATGGTTCTTACGTTTCACAAAATAATTAATGACAAAGTCTTTAAGTTTTTCCAATGAATCAATAGTTGTTGTTGCCTTTTTTAGATTATTCTTATATTTTCAATTTATATAAGATCGTCGAAAGTATGGCTTTCCTATATTAGCATAATTAGAGAAGATTTTGGAGAAGATTTTGGCGACAATTTTGTCATTCTTAAGAATGGTATAAAATAGATCTAAAAACTTTTAAACTCTTGAGACCACGAGATCAGTGGACTTTCCCAATTAAAATTTTATTTATAATAAGATTTATATATTTCTTAATTATGATTTAATATATCTGTACCAATTAGCATATATATATATTTATATAGCAGTTAGATTTAAAAATTAAAACCAGGGAACTAAGAAGCAAATGCAAGGAGTACTGGGTTCTGCTCGAAAGACAACATGTCTCTTTATGCAATGTGACCAACGCTTCAACTCCTTGGCTGTCCTTGTCTAACGTGGGAGCGACACTGCTGACAACCCAAACCGGAGGTCCCCATCCAAAATTGGCTTCATAAAGGGGTAATTAATTTGCGAGCCTCATAGCTCAACTGCAAATAGTTAGTAAGCATAAAATTTGCTAGTTTAGAACCAATCATCGAAGACAATCCACCATTGTCTTGGATTACAATTCGTAAGTCCTCTCCCTGTCTTGGTAAGTCTCTAACAGCCTCTTCAATTTTTAACTTCTACATCACTACCACATAAGAGAACATTGGCGGAACGGAGGTATCTTGGCAGTTGCAACGAAAGCTTTCAAGAGAAGGGCGGTGGGATGTGCTACAACGTCTTAACTCAACGGATTTGGTTCTAAGCTCTTTCAACTTGGACGCATCTCTTCATTATTCTGCTTTTCTTATTGGCATGTTTGTCCACCGGAAGCTCTAAAACTCATTTGCTGGTGGGTAAAAATTAACCACAAAACTTAGTCACCAGTGACCAGCCTCTCCTCGAGCCAAAGCTACCCAAAGACTGCATGAAAGTCGAGATGGTGGTTGAATCCGCGATTTTGTGAGTGATCATCAGATCCCCATGGCCATGCCGCGATTTTAATTAATTTGATGTATCATTATTTTTAATTTAGTCACTAAGAAATATTCTACAATATTCAAATTCCGGAAAGATTATGGAAATGAATAAATCGCTAAATTTAGTTACCAAGAAATATTCTACAATATTTTTAATTTAGTTACCAAAAATTATTCTACAATATCTTTTCATAAATGGCTATTTATTTTAATTAGATTACACTATAAAAACTTTGCTATATGGCAAAAAAGAAAAGATAAAATTGGACAAATGGCAACATAAAATTTATTTGTTAAACTTAATTTGTTAAAATTTCTTATGTATTATTTTTCCAAACTTCTATATAAAATGAATTTTTGTGTATAGTTTTCAATCATTTTACAGATAAAGCAAATTTCAATACGAAAAAATTGAATAGTATAAAATTATATATGACATGTTTTGGTAATATTTCATATTTTGAACCATTGGAGGTAGAATATCTATGAGATTTTGACACATAAGATTTTTAGAGCAATAATATTATTAGATATGCAGTGTTTATTGGTCATTTTTACTCAATAAGAAAGCACTAATTACCTTCCAAATTCTATATTTATTAAATAGGATACAAATGTTTGGATTAATATTTTGATAGGCACATGGATCAGTTTTGGAGCTAGATAGCTATGAGATTGACACATAAGAATTTTAGAGGAATTAATACTATGAGATCATCAACGCATAGCTTATTCATAATATATGAGATATGCATCATAAAGAGATGTTCTTAAGGAAGGCACATATGCATAGAATATAACACTCTTTAAGATCTAACAAAAGAAAATAAGTCTTTTAATCGTCTGATGAACCGGAAATGATGTTCTGAATCATCTGGTTTGTTTCTTCCTCCGAAATTTGCTCATTTTTCACAAGCTTCTGCTCGTACGCCTCGAAGAAGTCCTTGTTCTCTTTGACAAGCTCCTTCCACACTAGTTTTAATTCATTAATCGGGATAACATAAACTTTAAATAACACAATAGTTAATCTACGAGTCCGTAGAATATTTATACGAGATGATCTAGATGTTTTCATCAACATACTATAAATAAACATAAAAAGAGCTACAAGATCATCGATGGTTAAGGACTATCATGTAGCGTATTAACATTTATGTATAGGCTCGTATTACACGCATATACTCTTCATACATAAGCCACAAGCTAATACATTTTGATTCTCTGGCTTTTATAGGTTTGCTAAAACAAACATAGAGAAAATAAGAAAGAAGGGGTAAATTTTGTAATTAATTGGTGAAAATATCGAATGAAATTAAGAAAACATATGTTTCATGATAAAAGTTGAGTAAATTTGGAAAAATATCCTCTTTTTGTTTAGACTTTTGAAAAATACCCTCTTTTTGTTTGTCTTTTTAAAAACAATTTGTAAATTTATAAAATTATTAAAAAAATGTATTGAAACTTAATAATAATTAATCCAAAGGATCTATATTTTTAATATCAAATCAATTAATCAGTATTAATTAAATATCTAATTTTTACAAAATTGTCCGTTGACCAAATCATGATCGTCTTTCACCATGGATGTTGTCTTGTAACTTTGAACGTTATATAACTAATAGTTCGAAAGATTCATTATCCTAAATATTTTTTAAGAACAATAATGAATAATAGCATTCTACCAATGTTAAGTATGATTTTTTGTTAAGTCATATGGTGGAGATTTTAATGATTCATTATTATTGAAAACACATAAAATAGTTTACTTTGCAAAAATATGTTAAAGAGAATCGTTTAATTGAAACAAACTTTGGTAATATATTTAGTTAAAAAATGTGTTTCGTACGTTAGAGATTTGTTTCTTTATATAATATGATAGATATTAAGCGATAGACTTTATAATATTGTTAACATTTAATATATCAAAATAAATAAACTATTTTGTGTTAAAAATATATATAACCATGATTAATATTATTTCGAATTTAGTATATATTTTCTCTAAATTTTGATTTTTTATTTATTAAAAAAATAGCTTTAAATTTAAATTTGAACAAAATTGTCATCTTATATATAATTGTAATTTTTATTATTAAAAAAATAGAAAAGGGTATATTTCAAAGTATAACTCAAAAACAGGATATTTTTCAAAATCACCCATAAAAGTTTATATATAATATAACTTGTTGAAATACGATACATATTCTAGAATATAACGATAACCAATGCCAAAAAAAATTGGAATAGCATTTTGGTGAACCTTCATGTTTGCAACTATTTAATAAAGGAGTAAAATGCATCAAATGTATGGAAAATATGATAAGAGAGGTCCAAACCAGAGGACGTGATGATGGGATTGATGTTTGCATTCTTTGAGAGAGCTTCCATGCATTCCTCTTTGCTCATGTTAAAGGTCAAACATGTCTCTATCATGTGTTGCACCTATACATAACACATGACACACGATCACGTTTTTATATACCCTTAAGAATGTACATAAAAGAAATTACTGTCCTTCATGAGAAGAAATGCATGCATGTTCGAGTTATTACCATATGAATGTATGCAGCGGGAGAAGACACTACAAGAAAAATGGCTTTTCTTAGCATCCGAATAACGCTATCTAACTATTCTATAGCGTTTTGACAAACGCTATATCTGCGCCCATCATAATAGGTCAGACACTTTAGATAACGTTTTTTTGTTCTGCTATCATATTGTCGTATACAATAACGTTTAATTGAATGTAATTAAATATTATATAATAGCGTATTTTTGTTGTTATTAATGATATTATTAACAACATTTTGGAATTGTTATTTTTATATAAATATAACCATTTCTATTTGTTTTATACTAATTTGAATCAATATATATAAATCTGGGTATAAGAAACAGTATATTTAATCAAAATACTTCATTTATTTGTCATGAAGAGTCAAACCTAAGCTCTACATATTATAAAACACCAAGATAAGGAGTTCAAAGTACTTCATATATAAAACCCATGCAAATGTTTCAAATTCTCAATTTGCTCTCCACACTCGTGCACCATCAACCTTGAAAACCTCTACCCAGACCTTGCTAGCGTTGGAACCTAAAGGGATGAAATGGACCTTCTCTGCTCGATCACTTGAAGACACACGACATATTGCAACTCTCTGCCCAGAGTTGACAAAAGAAATAAAAAAAAGTTAAGCAAAGAGTACGGAAAAATTGGAATTCACAAGAAATGTTGGTTTGTTTACCTTAGTTCTATCCCATCCTCCTCTCCTAACTCAACTTTTCAAGTTGCATACAAGAACAGATTCCACGACGCCTCCCTTTGACCTAGAATAGCATGTGTAGATTTAAAACAAAATGATTAATCACAACTTTTGATTAACCTTACAAGTTGCATCAACTAGATATAGCATGAAACATGGCACAAACATGACACAAAGTTAAGTCAACTGAAAAGATCTTATAGAAGAGAAACTTATAATAAAACAAACATTAGCAATCGAGTTTCTCATCTATTTGCTCACCAAAGCATCAAACTTTGGCTTGTATTTCGGAGTAACAGTGTCAACGTACTTAAGAATCTCAATGCCTACATTAAACAAAAAACATCAATCAAATATACAACTTAGCTTCTCAGAGAACAAAATAAAAGCGCACAGAAAAATTCCGCTTGATAACTACCCTTAAACTAGTATAAATTAAAGATTAAACCCTAACCTCGAATCTGATTTCACCTCAACTTGATTCATCACCTATCTTCACGATCTGTTGTCTTAATCCTCACAATATCGCTCATCTCTTCATCAATCGCTGTTAGGACTCCTCCCTTCTACCATCGAGAGGCCACACAGATCCAATGCTCCGACGAAAAGGATCGTATTTGTTCCTAATTATCCCTCACTTTCATCTCTGAGAACATCAATTCCTTTAAAAATCGAACCAAATACATCCATCCTCGTGGCTCAATTAAATCAAATTAGAAGAAAAAAAAACCAACACAAAGAGTTAAAAAATCGTAAGAGTTATGGATGAAAAGCACAAATTGGAGAACCCTAAATTAATATCTCAAACATTAAGAAGAATTCGGAAGAGACTCACTGGCGGCTAAGATGTGGAAACGGCGACAGATCTAAGAGGCAATGATGGAGCTAGGGTGGAAGGCGGAGATCCCTTGTAACTATCGGAAAACTAGCATAACATCTCTCGCTACGTCTTCTTCGATTACTTTGGCGGTACATCATAAGCGGCGACGAGATCTGAAAAAAAAAAAAAAAAATTAGATCTGGAAAAATGAGTTTGCTGGAGAAGACGAGAAAAGAGGGAGAAGAGGAAGAGGTGAAGAAGATGAAGAAACGAAGAGACTAAGAAGCAAAGAGGAGAAGTGGATTGAGCGAGAATAGAGTAACGGAGATGAAGAGAAGTCAAAGAAGATAGACGGTTTCATTAGCCTGATGAATAAAGTGAAAGAAAAATAAAAAATTTAAGGGTTTTTGGATAAGAGTTTCTAGAGCCCAATTTTAGTTTAGGCGGTCACTGACTTCTTTTCTCCCGCTAATTTTTCCATAACGTTTTAGTTGTGTATATATGCTATCATATACCATGAGCGAAAAAATTGAGCCAGCGTATAACTTTTTATCTGCATAACATATTATAGCGTGTATCAATTTAGAAACGCTACAAAAGAGTTAAGGGTAAATCAACTATAGCATAAATACATAAATCGTTATCTTTTAATGCTATTAAAACTCAATATTCTTGTAGTGAGAGTCCCTCATTTCTATTATATATTTTGCTACAACCACAAATAAACTCGTACACTTAGATTAAAAAGCTCCACTATTGACGCAAATTTATAGAAGAGGTCACGAAGAAGAACATGAATAGTAATGTAAGCATGTGGCCCGAAGTTCCACACGTAGGAGATTTAAAATTATAATTGGATGAGACAGGATGAGAAGAGATTGTAAGAAAAGGAAAAAAAAAAAAAAAGAAGATATATTTGTAAAAATTACTCTTTTCTCTTTCCTTTTGTTTCCATTTCCAATAAATATCACACATGACACATGTCACCAATAGCCCCTATATTTATTCCCAAAAAATAAATTTATTCAAACAATTTTGGTATTAGTTCATAAATTTTAATTAATTTTACAAATCCAAATAAATGTGTTATTAAACCATAGGTTTTATAACTCTTACGGAAAGTTATTTATTCAATGATTTACAAATACTAGTTGAAATCCGATGTTATATGTTTAATGATTTATTACTAGATTTGAAAATCAACATTGAATTTTAAAAAATGTGAACGTTAAAAATGCAAAGATTCAAATCCAAGGTTAAAACCTATTTATTTCAAAATCCACATGTCTGATTATAAAATCTCTAAAATCTTCTGTGTCCCATATAAATTTATAAACTCATTAACAAGTAAGAGTATCATATATTAGCTTCACTAAACATTGCAAATATAAATTGAATTGGCAATAAACTACTAATTTTATTTTCTTGAGAATATAGAAATACAATTTCTAATTACTGTGATACCAAAAGGTATTAAGCAGAAACGTTTCTCATGCACACTAATGTGGGCTATGATAATGATTTAAACATTCAAAAGGATTCAGAAAAAAGAAAACAACAATATATAAGGAAGAAAGCTTAACGAATTTTGCTTCGAAATACATATCTTTGGATCGATTGTGTAAGAGGCATTAAGAATGGGTTTACCGATAATTTTTCAAGATACAATCAATCCCTCTAATGTAAAATCTCTTTAATATAATCCATCTAAAATTCTGCTATTGGATTGTTTGATTCTTCAATCCATGTTTATAATCTCATATATTCATTTTACCAAATACTGAACTAAGTTAGTAAGTTAGTTCCTTACATGCATCAAAATATTTTTGTAACATTTATTGAAAGGCCTAAAATTAAATATTTGTACTGGGACTAGTAATCCATTGGGCCGGCCATGTTCCTCTCCACAAGTCAAATAAGGCAATTGTGCGTTGGTCCCTTAGCTCCTAGTTCAGACTTTTTTTCTTTTAGATTCTCGTGGTTCCTAGTCATTTCACTCATTGGAAGACTCTAGGTTTGTTTTCTAAGTTTTAGCTTATCGTTGTATCCTTGGTTGTTTTTTTAGTTTCCCTCTTTTGGGCTCTTGTCTACGGAGATATTTCCATTTTCCGCTGACTTATCTTACCGGAGATATTAACTATTTTCGCCGGTCGTTGTATCCTTTGAAGTTTTATCAATATCATTCAGACGAAAAAAAAAATAGTCTATTTTACCAATTATGTACGATAACTGATTGAATAATTTTTAACTTTTTGCCATCAGCGATTATATTTTTTGTAGTGTAATGGTCCTACTTCTCTACAAGTAGTTCAGTACATAGTTGATACTCGTATCATTAACAATTTTTTAGTATTGATTTTAATGTTTGTTTATTGTATGAGATTTTTTATGATACTAGTACTAAATATATTTCCATTGGTAAGACCGGTTTAAGTATCATAAAAAAAAAATTATTTGCAAAATCAAAAATAAATATATAAAAACATAGGATTACAAAAGGTAATATTACAATCCAAAAAAATGTAGAATATAAGTATACTTAAGCAAAAAAAAAACATAAAATTCAACATAATGAAATATAAAGCAGTCCATTTCCTAGGGTAAGAGATGAATGTCAGATAGAAACTAAAGCAGTCCAAGCAGACTAACATGGTGAGACGAGACATCACCACTGAATCAATGTATTGGTTACTTATGGAATAAAAAGTTGTGAGTAAAATGCTAATAATATAACGTGGAATAAAAAGTTGCGAGTAAAATGCTAATAATGAAAACAAATCACATGCACAAAATACAGAAGACATAAATTCATAAATCCAGTTACATCGAGTATATATGTCTTTCAAAACTCGTTTATGTTTTATTATAGGGAAATTGTTAAAAATACCCCTTTTGGTATGTCCCTTTTAAAAATTGTCCCTTTTAGATGTCTATTTTCAAAAATGCCCATTTTTAAATCTGAAATTTTTATAAAGTTTTATTAGGTTTATAAGGTACTTATGGATTGTAACTACTACTTGAAGACTCGATCCAAGTATTTATAAGGTTTTATAAGGTGTTTTTAAAGATTTTACAAGTTATTTTAAAGGATTTTTAAGGTTTTTCAAAGGTTTTACAAGATATTTTAAAGGTATTTAAAATGCATTTATAAGGTATTTATAAAGTATTTATAAGATTTTAGATACATAGAAATGTAGTTTGTGTATGTTTTAATAATATTACATACATATTTGAGTAAGTCTTATATTTTTAAGACCATTTTTTATAAGGTTTTAAAAAGAGGTATTTTTGAAAAGTGGCATTGAAAAAGTGGTATTTTTGCAAAAGCCCCATTATTATAAATATTTAATTATTGATTTTAAGTTTTTAACACTTCCATTAATTATTATAATATTTAATTATTTTTCTGCATGACAATCTGGATCTTTCAGATGTATAAATATACAAATTTATATTTAAAGTTTATTTAAGTATCAAAATATTAATC